GTAAAATAGGTTGTGAATGTCATTTCGTATTGATTTCAGCATCTGTCTGATAAAAATATGACACTGATGGGCTATTTACTGTTTCCAGATGTTTCCGTGAGCAAAAAACTCTAAAAGCAAAAAGCTCTGAAAAGGTATCTGGCACATTTATGTTCATTGCAGATAATCCAGGAGTATTTTTCTACCAGCCTGGAAGCAGGAAACAGCAAAATCGGTGCAGTGCACATAAATTCCCGCTCAGAAAACAGGCTGTTCAATAACACAACACTCATTACTCAAGAGCCGCCACTGTTAGTCCACGCCACAAAACTAACTCGCGTCCTGTTTCCCTGAAAAGTCCCGCAAGAGTTGCAGAGGGCCCGCGGTATCGGCGAGATTTTGCGTCTGTTGCATTTTCTACTAGTAAGCAATAAATGTCACGAAAATGAAGGTCACCTAACCTCGGTGCATCAAGACGTATTTGGCAGCACGGCGTAATGCCTTCCAAGTTTGTGGAACAAATGAAATTCTGCTGCTCTGGTGCACTTTGCATCCAAACAACCATTACAACTGGCTTTATATACTGTCTGAGCAGCAGACCATCAAATGGTGTTTTTATTCTTGTGCTGGAACGCTCCATCCACACTGTTGAGAATAGAAATCCATCGCTTGTATGCAAAAGACTGGAGCCAGTCTATATCTGCTGGTGAAATGATAGTTTCATACAGGAATAAAATTGATCACGGCATCTGCGACACGTAGCATTAGATCTGCGTAAGGCATCATTGGTGCACTTTTGGAGGTAATTGGGCTTTTTTGCTGGAAGTTTCTTGGGGAAGCAGAGTGGGAATTACTAGATTAAGCACTCTAGAATATGTTTGCGTTCTGTGGCACGGCTCTGATTCATATTTTATGTTGCTTTTTGTTGGTTGATAAAATGTGAAGACAATATCCGCTGATTTTCTTCTCCACCAACAGTCGTTTTTCATCCATCAAGGCATTTTTCTCTCCCCATCTTTCGGCACTTGCTATAACTGATTTAGCATTTATGGTGGTAAAAAATTAATCTAAATGTCGTCCAACGGGGAACGCAGAAGCTCTGGGCTGATTTATTTCCGACTTAATTCAGAATGGCTTGACATGATGAACGCTACAGAAAGTGGGCAGTTGTGTTTTGGAAGCATTAAAGTGGCTGTTGCGAGTTGTTTGATTGAAAATCATAAATCAGTGGACTCAAACCTTGGACCAGAGAGCAGAGACTGTAAACAGCAGAGACCCTGTGTCGTGTGTGTTATTAGCGATACACTGACTTCATGCAGATTTACTTGTGCTTTAAGGGATTGAAAATTAATCTGATTTATGTGCATTTGAAAACATTTTAGGGTGCTTTTCAGTTTTTTAAACATATCTATGTGTGCTTCACACCAGTGTTAGGCAACAACAGAGTTGTATGCACCATTAAGCCGGAAGTTATTATTCTAATATCTAGCTGTACAGCTGTACGAACTTGCTCAGCAAGATTCCCTTCAAAATTGTTGCTCCGCCATGACATGGTTTACCGTAGAACACTAAATATAGATACAAATTAGCATATGCTGTACTCTTTATGTACAGTGCATATTTTTCAGCTTTTTTGGCTTTAATCATGATTTTTGTTCTGTCCCTATGCAAGTAAACCAATAAATAAAAATAAAATCTGTGGAATACATAGGGTATGTTTTGCACCTTATACTGCCTATGATGAATGTGTGTGATGCATTATGTCATGACAAAACTACATTGCTTACGGTATAGTTAATAAAGCTTTCTACACCTAAAATTTGTTAGTATCATTGCAGCGCATTGCATTTTCAGATGATGACGCATTTATATTTTGGACAAGCTGCAAAGCTACTTTGGCAATGTTTTTCTTATTTGAAATAGAACTAAAATATAGTCATTTAATCTAAAATAAATGTAATATCTATTTTCTTTATCCGTTCAAATCAGCATTTGGTGTGAGCATCCTTTGCGTTTAAAGCAGCTTTTGCCCTAGGTGCACTCGCGCATAGTTTTTCAGGTAACTTTGCAGGTAGGTTTCTTGATGCATCTTGGAGATGTTGCCACAGTTCTTCTGGATTTAGTGTGTCTCAGTTTGTTCTGTTTCTTCATGTCATTCCAGAGAGACTGGATAATGATGAGATCAGATCTCATGTAGAAACAATTTTCACTGGGAAAATGCTAGTAAATTTCACAAATAATTACAAAGAATTGGTAAGTAAACACTGAATTAAATGTGAGATTTTGAAGTAGAAAGACTGAAATCATATTTTTTGTAAATAACAATCTGTTTTACGTATTATACAGTGCATACAGTGTTTACACCAGTGTATTTCCATATGTAAAGATGTGCCGTCAGTCGCTTTCACTATGTGAAGTTGCTGCCAGAAAAGGACTAATTTTATTCAGAAGGAAATAAATACAGAGAAATGCACAGTTGTAAATCACTCGATTCAAAATAAACAGAAACACTTTGAGGCAGTAGTCATAATTCATAATAAATCATTGTTTTGTGCAGGCATGCGTGGGAGCGAGTGTATATTTTGGGCGTTTTCCATCTAGCTCTGATGTAGGTGAGGTTAGCACGGCGTTGTGTTTCTTTCTCTTTGTTTGAGCGCTTGGCGGGGAAAGAAGATCTCTGGCTGGCCTTCTGTCTGTGGTAAAAAGGCAGCAATGAAAGTCATTCACAGGGTCGTCTCACGAGACCCCGGGCCAAAGCTAATCACAACTTCGACCCACTTCTGGATTCCAATGACTGAATCTATTGAGCTGAGGTCTCTCGACGGAGCACAACAAAGTCGGTGTGACTGCAACTTTAGCCTGCTGCGGCCCAGCGCCACAACAACACTGTTGCCTGCCCCGTCTGTGATTGGCACAGAGGTGTGCTCTTGATACTATATACAGTCAATAACAAAGAGCCCGGCACAGCTATTGAGTTCAGTTACAGACCGTCTCTCCTGGGCCTTTTGTTTGGATGGGAAAAGCAGTGTTGAAAACAGAAAGGCATGTTGGGATATATTGCTACAAATTACAATAGAGATGAATCCTGTTACATGTCTGTATTATGAATAGAAGCTAATATTAATGGATCTATCAATAGTAACCATGGTTTTCCCTCTCTTTAGGGTGTAGTGCTGTCACTAACAACATTTTATATGGCATTCTTGTATTTGAATCATACAACAGTATATACACTACTGTTCAAAGGTTTGAGGTCAAAGTTATTGTTTTTTAAAAATATTTGTTTATCAATGATGCATTTAGTTGATTAAAAGTGGCAGTAAAGCCATTTGTAATGTTTCAAAAGATTTCAATTTCAAATAAATGCTGTTCTTTTGAACTTTCTATTTATCAAAGAATCCCGAAAAGTAAAACGTACACGGTTTCTACAAAAATATTAAGCAGCACGGCTGTTTTCAACATTTATAATAATATACAGTGCCTTGCGAAAGTATTCATACCCCATTCATTTTTTCACATTTTGTTGTGTTGCTGCCTTTTGTTAAACTGCTTTAAATTACTTTTTTTCCACATCAATCTACACTCCATACACTATACTGACAAAGCAAAAACAGAATTGTCACAACTTCGTAAATTTATTAAAAATAAAAAAAACTGAAATAAGTACATTGCATAAGTATTTATATCCTTAACTAAATATTTCGCTGAAGCACCTTTACAGTCTCAAGTCTTTTTTGTTTAATGCGACAAGCTTTGATCATCATCATTTGGCAATTATCTGCCATTCTTCTCCTCACCTCTTCACCTCTCAAGCTCTGTCAGGTTGGATGGGAGCAAATGCACATTTTCACGTTTCTCCTGAATTATTTGATTGGGTTCAAGCTCATGCTCTGGCTGGGCCACTTTAAACTACTTCAGTCTGTGTGCATTGAGTTTATTTAATACACGAGTTTCACAATTTGAGTTGAATTACTTAAATAAATGAACTTTTCCACGGCATTCTAATTTATTGAGATGCACCTGTGTATATAAAATAATAAATGGATATTGAGCATCAAATCAGCATATTAGAATGATTTCTGAAGGATCATGTGACACTGAAGACTGAAGTAATGATGCTGAAAATTCTGCTTTACATCACAGAAATAAATGACATTTTAAAATATATTCAGACAGAAAAGCGGTTATTTTAAATTGTACAAATATTTGACAATATTGCCGTTTTTACTGTATGTTTGATCAAATAAATGCAGCCTTGGTGAGCATAAGAGACTTCCTTTAAAAACGTTAAAAAAATCTTACTGACCTCAAACTTTTGAATGCTAGTGTACTTTGGTACTTCGCTGTACCATGGTATCACCACAGTATGTCATGTCCCATTTAAAGTCAACCCATTTATCTTTGAAATGTGAGTTCACTGTGAAACAATAAAGGTACACCACAGAATTCTGTGCTCTCTCTTTTGACTTCTGTGGTTGTAACATAGAAATGCAAGGTTTAAAACAAAATAATGTTGATCATCTTTCCATGGGAAATTGTTTGGATTGTGAAAAGTGGTTTCTGTGTGTCTGGTTTTTTTGGAGTGGAAGGGCTAAAATATAAAAGCGATTGAGGACGTCAAACGAAAAAGCAATTTTGAGGTGTAGAGAATAATTTTATTTTGATGAGAGACACACTTTCTAATAATATGCCCAAAGTAAAGCCAGATCTACAGTATGTGTTAAGAAAGCAAATGGGCTCAATTTCAGTATAATTTTTTATGTACAGTATATTTACAGTGCTGAATTCTTATCCCACTGCTTGATAGATAAAGAAATGATAATCATAATCATCTCTTTTTATGTTCCCCTAGTTTTGGTTTGTCTTCTGGGACATCGTCCCTTGGCGCCTCACAAACTTAAGTAGCCTACTTCATGCATAAAGGACTGAAGTTTTGTCAGGCACAATACAGGAAGCAAAGTCTGTCAGGCTTTGAGTAGCAGTAGATGTTTATGTTACCGACGTTCTTGCGTTTCTGTCAGGTTGCAGGCTCTGAGGAAGGAGAAGTCACGTGACGCCGCTCGCTCGCGCCGGGGGAAGGAAAACTTCGAGTTCTACGAGCTGGCAAAGATGCTTCCGCTCCCCGGCGCCATCACCAGCCAGCTGGACAAGGCCTCCATCATCCGCCTCACCATCAGCTACCTTAAGATGAGGGACTTCGCCAACCAGGGGGACCCGCCGTGGAACCTGCGCGTCGAAGGACCGCCGCCCAACACCTCAGTCAAAGGTAAGAGGCTTTCTTCTGTGTAGAACTTTTATTCTGCTCTTTTTGTTGTAATAATGGATTATTACCAGTGTTGGGGGTAACGCATTACAAGTAACGCGACTTACGTAATCAGATTACTTTTTTCAAGTAACTAGTAAAGTAACGCATTACTTTTGAATTTACAAGAGGATATCTGAGTTACTTTTTCAAATAAGTAACGCAAGTTACTTTTTTTCCAATTTATTGAGTGACAGCTCTCCTGTCCCCATGTTGAGAGAAATCAGATGTTACTGTAGTTCTAAAATAAATATGAATATGCATTAATTCATCTCACTCAAAAAAAAAAACACAGATTCAGTATTCCTCAAAATGAATAAAAAAAATGCAACTCAGAATATGACGCAAACCTGCAATAATTAAATGTTAAACAACACAAATGTCCTTTATGTATTTAATCCCATACTATTAACCAATGTCTTTGCTTCTGACCTTCTATGATCCAGTTCAACAATACTAATAAGCAAAAATTACTCTAGAT